TTTTTTTTTAATTAACAGTATATTACTAAAATGTTAGTAATATACTAAAAAAAGCTAATATTAATACTTTTATATTATTTGGGAATTACAATTGTTTTGTTGTGGATAAAATAATACAATTACAATATCAACAACAATAATAAACATTTTAAACATTTGACATTTTTAAATATCTATAAATTAACTAAAAATGTACAGTTATTTAATGTGGTAGATTTAGTAGTGATCAGTGGAATGGAAAGTATTTCACAAAGTACAAAGCACCAAGCGCCAGAGCACTGCTAGTTTTATTCTATAATATTATAGTGACATTGTCGTTTTTTTGTCAACATTAATACAACAGTTTTCGTGTATTGTGACTTAGTTTTTACCCCCTTAGGTCAAGCCGAGTGCTTGTAGAGAAGTGACAGGTTCTGTATCGTGTGAGACCAAAAGAAGGCGTTTATATTATGGGGTTGTAAACTAATGTGTTTAGTGCATCAATAAAAAAGCCGGAAACGCCATAAAAGGGACAAAAAAATCTGCAGAATGGGAAAACGGTCGGTCTTTTCTCGTTTCAGATCTTGTACCAGCAGTTAAGCTTTTGGTGACAATAGCTTTTCCGATTTAGACAAAACTGTAATATTATAAGTGACCCGTATTTTTAATTAATGTGTTTATTTTGTTTAAAGCAAATCTCCAAAGTCTTCAATGCTATTCGCTTTATTGTGTTTTTTCTAAATGTGCATTTTGTCGCATTGCGAATTTTTCGTGCATCTATTGTTTAGTGCAGTGTATTTCTCTCTTGAACTTATGAAGGTTGAGCATTGCAATACTGTCATAACGTGACCCGTATTTTCGTCCTACATCTTTCGTTCCGTTTTTTTATTTTTTATTATTATAACAAATTTTTCACTCATATGCCTTTCTGTTGGAATCGAGATTTGTATTTTTCCAATATTAATCAAAATCAAGAATATTAATTTTAATTCTTTTTATTGGTTAATTCTTATTTTTTGTAATGTTCATATTGTTGTACGATATTATGGATCTGCTTTTAACGTAGCTAATCCTCAGCTCCAGCATTTTTTAAATAAAGAGCAAACACAGTCTCTTGAGGTAGACGTTATATCCAAATAAAAAGTGACTTAGTCATTAACCAGTTTATAGCACCTTGAACCAATAACATATAGTATCTCTGATCTCCCTTGATTCGCGACATTGTTCTGGATGGCTTAACTTTATATTAAGGCTCGTTCGTGCTAAATTGCCTTAAATTATGAATGAAAAAAATCAAACCGCACTGATGTTATATCTCGGCTTCAAAAACACAAATATCACATGCTCCAGCCTTTATCATACCCGTTTGTCTAATACGCTTTTTAGTTAGTCTAAGTAGCCTATATCAGTGCGTGGAAACAAGTACGAAAATAGAGATTTTCCTTGCGATTGTATAGGGAAAAAGATGGCGACGGCAGAGCTACTGCTGTTAAAACAGTCATGAAGAAATGCAATAAATTCCTTGTTGTTTTATGAAAATTTACAACTTTGTGATAGAACTTTATGAGTGCCTGGGTCCTGGGATTGGCCGAGGATGGTCATGTGGACGAGTAACCGTGAACATGAACTTTTTATGATTTCCCAAGTGGTTATATTGCAGCATTCTTTTGGCCGCAGCGCTTAATGTAGCTTCACTGTGCTCCTTAAAGGTTCTTACTCTATTTTTATAATATATTTTGACCAACACTGAAAATGCACACAGTCGGAGAGCATTGTTCAGGCTGATGTTCTCAGAATGAACAAGGAGAGAACAGCCTCCTCTCTGCTCTGCTATGCTAATGTGGCCGCCTGTGATTGGGATAACCACTGCGATGGAGTCTTATTGAGATCTGGACACGCAGTAGGGTCTCATCTAATTTTTCATACTGGGGTCTGAGTCCCGTTGACTAATACGGGTGTAACGGATGGAAGCTGTGATACCGCTGTCATTTTCACTGCTTCGCACTAATGGCGGGACCAAGAAGAGCAACAGGACTTACCGAGCGCGAGCTATGGCGAGAGGTTTGCGCCTCTCTGTCCTGGTGCTGGGTGATGAATTATCAACAAAGGTAAGTCTGTCAGTGTCTCGCAACCGCATCGTTTCTCTGAGGTAAGAGCTCGACCAAGCCTAATCATGCGCACTGGATGGACGTA